TTTAAAAGGCCAAAGCCCGAAGAATTGTGAAACAAAAGTGGCAATGACCAGGGCATATAGCTCGTAAGACAGGTGGCCAATGGGGCAGTAAAGTCCTCGAATGGCGACCGCAAACTGGAAGACGCAAAAGGGCTTTAACAAGGTGGACCGACTATCTGGTCAAGATCGTTGTTCAGAAGTGGACGTCTTCCGGGCTGAAATGATGTTGATGAATTTCTATATATTCCAATCAGTCAGAGTTAATAATTTCTAACTGCAAACAAACTAAATACACTGACCTATTTAAAATGCTTCAGAAAAACTATTAACAATATATATTATAATAGCCTGTATCATTCCTCATTGGTCTCGACAATAACTACATTACAAATCAGACAAAAACTAATCTCAGACAAGAAGTAGTCATGTCTTATTACCAGACCGTTTTGTTAGATCGCTTTCAATTTTTTATTGATGAGACCGTTGGTATGTACATAAAAACATTAACAAATTACATCGGTAGTCAAGTAACTATTGTCATTCGAAGCACGGTCATAAGAAACCATATAAATAAATGTATTGAATGTGTCTAGACAAAAGTTGAGTATACCCACATTATTAGACATTACTACAATAGCATTATATTCAAAGCTAGCGACCAGTCCTAGCTTCGCTCGGATGCTTTACAAATCTTTGAATTTATCTATACCATAACACTCATATATTATACATATAAGCCTTCCTCTTGAATTACTCTTTGTATTGCTAAAAACTGCATTAAAATCCGATGCGTAATTTAAAAATTATAAGCAAACAACGGCGGCGAATTGTTTATAGTAGATATAGATAGAATATAAAGATAGAAAAAATAATTAGGGTAATTAAAAAATAAATCAACTGGCAACTAAAAATTCATTGCTAAGCGCAAAAACTCAAAACTCTGTTGAAATAAACCGTATGACATGAAATAAACTAAAATTAAACGTTTACTTGTACGGAATGTCTTATGCATGATGATTATTATATCGTCCTTGAATAAATTTAGATATTTTTTATTTTTCTTCATACAAACCGTTCCTATTTGTCTTATGTATGATTATTGTATCTATGGTTGTCTTATGTATGATTATTGTATCTATAGATTCACTCCCATATCGGTCCCATTAAAAAAAAATTGAAAAGTATGCAGTTGTTATTTATTTAAAAGTACTTAATAGTTAAGTGTCTAAACATAATTTATTTCTTTCTACCGTCAACACAATCTTACAAACAAACCAAATTTGTCAACGCTTCTAAGACATCAGTCATCATCTACTTGCTATAAATATAAATCATAGTTGTCATTATTGTAATTCTTAGAAATACTCAGGCGGCCCTGACGGTCTAGCGGTTTAGCTCACCTTGCTTCCGACGGTCACGGAATCGATTCCTTGCACGATGCAAACATTTGTATTCATGAGTATGATTGTTTGTACTAGCCTGGATATTTTCTATGTATATTATGCATGTATTTAAGTATTTCTATTATTTAGTACTAATAACGCAAGTTCTGCTTATTTTGGTACTAGATGGATTTTCGAACCGATACGATATTTAAACCTTCAAGAAAAGAGCTTTTTCCTTCTTAAGAGGCCGGCAACACACTTGCATTTTCCCTGTTTGTGATCATGGTCGATAGATAATCACTTACCATCAGGTTAGTCGCAAGCTCGTTTGTCCTCTATGATTTAAATAAAACTCTACAGTCTACAATAGTAAAATTTCTAACAAAGGTCTATTAAAATTCTAATAGAACCAGTTTCAAAGGTGTTGTCGAGTGGTGTTAATAAGTACGTGGCACTGATCATAATGATAGTGACCTACTTTTTAAAGGAAGGAAGTAATATTTAAAATGTAATTTACAAGATAATATATATATATGATAAAAGAAGTTAATTTCAGCTGCTTTAGCAGCTGTTTGTACAAGTGATAATACATTTTCTATAAATAATGTCTTATTTAAATGCTTCGTGTGACAATGTACTAGTCTTACGTAAATATATAAATCTACACATTTACGTAAGACTAATTTTGATCTGCAACTTCGTCCGCATGGCCCTAATTGACAGAAATTAATAGTCAAAGATCCTATGCATTTCAAATGGTCCAAGTTTCGTCACATGAATTTAATCATTTTAGATCTTACTTCCCTGTCACAGATAGTCACATTAGTATACTCACCCCTCTATAGTGTGACGTCATATATATTGCGGTTTTATTAAATATAATACTAATTTTAACTTTATCGTTAATAGTTAAAATTTCGTGCTTTAAATTATTTTGAAATGTGACGCTAAAGAGGCATCACTCACTTTTGTTAATATTTAAACATACTTTTATTGTACATATTTATATATAAAATACTCAGATCGCTACAAACAATCATACTCAAATACAATGAATACAAATATTTCTATCGTGCAATGAATCGAACCGGCGACCATCGGAAGAATGGCGGTCTGCTAAGCCGCTAGATCACCGAGGAATGGTTGACAGGTGTTTGACTGCAGTTTTTTGTTGTTTCCAAATGGAGAGCAAATGTATTTCCAATATATCATCTGGTTACACAATATCTTTGACTTCCCCTTCGTAACGTTATTACGAGTGTTTAAAAAAAAGATGAGCGTACTTCTAAATATAGCCTGTAGTCCTGTTTCCGTGATATTTTATAAACCAACCAATCTTTATTATACCAGCCAAAATGGCAAATTAAAAAATAAAAATTTGCTAACGCAATGAGACCTGCCAAAGTGGCAACGTTGAAATATAAAATTTTACATTATCTACTAAATAAAAATGGTATTTTTGTGTACCATTTCTATAAAAGTAACACAAAATTGTGAGTGCAGTGTAAAATTTAGTCATTCATTTCCGTAGGTTAAAATCTCGTATAAAAATTGTACGAGAACGAAGATGTCCTAGTACCTCGTACTAAAGACTAAAAATCTCGTGCGGGTAGCACGAGAATCCTCGTGTAAGTATTATGGCCTTCAAGAGCGTTGCCAAGCCTAAGGGTTTTGAGAATCGATTTATGTGTTCACAATTTATGTTCAATTGTTTTCCATAAACGAAGTGTTCATCTAAAATTTATTTAAATCATCAATGAGTAGGTACTCATAATAGTCATTGGTTCGATACTTGTTAACATTAATAGTGTCATGAAGACTCCGTTATGGTAAGCACTATGAAAAATTCACACAACATAACTGGACTGTTAATTAGAAATTAAAATTAACGCAGTTTTAAGAATATAATCCACTATTTTAGTTAATGGGTCGTGGACACTCGTGGAATCAACTACTGATCTTCTGATGGCTCATCGAAAGAGCAGCTAGAAAGAAGAGACTTCGGCATTCAGTGGATGACACTTTTACTTGTGCGAGGAGAAAGTAAATAATCGTATGTCCTAATATTCTCTTATCTGTGGCAACGGGGAATGATGGCTTCATTGCAATATAACTTTGTGTCTACTAGCATGGTTAATTCCTGGATGATATCCACACGAAAGGCGGCTGGTATGAATTTCATGCTCATCCTTCACTGGTGTCCCGCCAACATACCTTTAGCGCAGGCGGGTCCTTCTTTCCACACAAATCCAGGCAAAAAAATCCTTTCTTAGTTCTCTCAATTGTTGAGAGCAGGTGGATCCACCGTTCCGTATACATCCACACAAAAAACTAATTCTTCTTTAGTTCTCTCAATTGTTAATTCTGCTATCAAATATTAACATTCGTTTCTATAATATAGGCGTCCTGCAGTCAGTATCAATTCATAGAACGCCCAAAACTCAGTTACTTTTTAAACAAGCTACGGAACTTCTCACAGAGAAAGCAGTTTTTTCATCGTTCGTAAATCACGTTGTGGTAATTTGTGGCACATCTGCATCGAACGGAAACATTTTTTGTTTCAGCCGCAAGCCAACATCGATTTCCGTTATAAATAGGTCAATATGCCAGAAGAAAGATTCCCTAAAATGTTGGAAACATTAGTAAAAACAGTAACCACCTTTGTTTCAAGTATAGTAGTCCGTTGATAAGCGGTTACTTTAGTCTGTGGACTAACAGATGACTACTTTAGTCTGTCGGCGAACCAGAAGACCAGTAACCCCAAATAATTTTTATTTAAAAATGATGCCTGTCAATTACATAAAAACGATAGTTTAGTATCTATGGAGTAACACTTGATTACCTAGTTACCTAACCAAGTGTTACGCCATTTTTAGGATACTTACTAGTCAATGTCTGTACTCAATTTGTCGTTTTTTACAGCCCTACTGAGCGAATTACTTTAAAAAAACCTTTAAGAAAATCGTTCAGATAAATAGTTTTAGCTAACTTCTTACTAGATGGAGTGGCGACGGCTCTGGAAATCATCACAGTTAAGATGAGTTGAATGCATACCCAATATATTATACGTACCTATATAATATATACTTTATAAGAGTAAACAATTAATAGCAAATCTCATTCCAAAAACCTCAGTACTTGTTGCATAAAAAATTCAGATAAAATATAAAAATTGGAAATACCGTATGTGCTACGTGTACAAACAATTCAATATTACATAGTGGATACTTAATAAATTAAACAACGCCAATTAGTAATGTCTTGAATTACTTTTAGCCAAAAATATTAATAATAGACAATTTCCAAGACTTCCATTGTAAATAATTTCAGCACAAAATTTACCTACGCTAAGTCAGGTTGAATAAGTGAATAAAGTCATATACTATTGTAAATAAATAAAAGGAATGATAAATATCTAGAAAAGCACGCACTGCCGAAAAGTAAAAGGCGCGAACGATTTTCCATCTGTAAAACTCGTGCGCTGCGGAAAGTGTCTCATTTCCGGCCATCCGCTGCCTCGACCAACCGAAAATTGGCGCCTAAAAATCCTACAGCCAATCACTCAAATGGCCGCCATTTTCAGCCAATGAATATCGAGCCCGCGCTCTCGCCACCGCGTCATTGTCATAACTTGAAAATTAGTACGACAGTGCAGTGAACCCCGTCGGTAAATTCTCGATTTTCCACGGATTTCATTATAATCTTGTAGGTAAGTGTTAAAAAAAGTATTTGTAAGATATTTATTTAAAAAAGTACGAATTTTATACACCGCGCCATATTGTTTCTCTCAGCGTAATTAAATTATTTTGCTATTTACTAACACATACTGTAACAGTAAAGTAATATTTGGAACATAAAACTTAGTGAATAAACTTTTAAATTTATTTAAAAATATTCTACACTTTTAATAGCATTTGAAATTATGTTACTAATATAAAATATCTGTACTAAATTACGAAAGTATTCAACGCATAATCGAATCGACTAATTTTCGTTTCGGCAAAATGGCGGCGTCGTTCTTGCGCTATTAATACATTTGCTGTCTCTTTCACATGCGCTCGCATATCGTATTTAAGACTGAGATAGATATATGTTTGACATTGAGATGCGAATAATGCAGCACACGTAACTAGACACGTCTTCGTAAACAAAGCTATAATGTTGCCACTCCTAATTTAATTTTTTCCTTGATTTCGAATCATTGTTTTAAATTGCGCGTTACAATATCAAATGTTTTCTTTTGTACAAACAATTTGTTCTATTAAAGGTTACGTAAATGAAATTCATTATAGTTTCGTACGGCGTTACTTAACATGTTTTTATACAATGTTTTTTATTACTGAAAAATATTGGTCTTCATAATTTTTATTTTAGGTTGTTTAACTATAGATAAATAAATTAATTTAATTTAACCTTTCAGTTCAAAATTAAATTAAATTAAAACTATTTATTTTTCCTCATAAAGAAGACACAGAGATACATTAATGTTCATGAGTAGTTTATTTCATTTAAAAATATAAATATTCGTATTAATGAGTTTGTGTTTTTTAAATATTAAATTTAAGTATCTAAGATTTTTTTTTATTATAAAGTGTTACTAAGATTGTATACAATATACTTATGTAAATATATTGTTAATTTTGATCGTATTTTCTTGGCTTTTTGTTACATATATAGATATATGTCTATTGTTTCTATTTATATTTCTGAAATCCATGAAGCGGAGGTGAGGTGCTTGTTTGAGGAAAAATACCGAGATAATTAAGATACAACTAGTACGACAGCGATATATAATAGTACAAAAGGGATGTCAAACAAATATGAATATAAAATTGGATTAATACAAATATGTACGTACAACTAAATTAGGTGTAGCCCACGCAGTTAATATTTTTTAAACGCTTATTGTATTATTATCCCCATTAATTTTGCCATCATTATCTTCTGTAATATATATTTTAATTAATAATTACAGGGCTATATATATATATATATATATATATATATAAACATATAATATAAATAATAATAATGTAACTGTATTCAGTATTATTATGTGGGTCAGGATTTGAACGTAAGAGTTTATATTATTAGTTGATAGGTAAAATTGTTACACATAACCACTAAGCCAACCAACTGATATCATATAGTTGTGAATTTAGTATTCCTATGACATAATTGTATTTATATTTGTATAGATTGTTTGCCATTTTTATTTATTTATTTTGATTACAATCTACTAACTAAACATATATATATATAGATATTATATAGATCTTGTAAATAAAAAATACTACAGCGAGCGAATTTCAAAAGTTAGCAAAAAAAACTTAATATTTTGAGCTTGTTGGCGCTAGGTGGCGCTGAAAATTAAGTTCTACTGAATTATCCTAAATCAATATACAGTTTTCATTTGAAATTTTCAGAAATTACGTATATTAATATCCTGTTGATTTTATATAAATTACGTTATTTAATAAACAATCTTTGAATATCTTTTAGAAATCAGTAATATAAAAAAGAGAACAAAATTTAATCAGATATTAAATTTATTTAAAAAAAATCTATTCTTTTATTTTTGTCTTCCAATATTTGTGCAATATTTTATTGTATAAATTAGTCTAAAAGCAATACTGGATTTTTTAAGCGTTTTTACGTAATTTGTATATTGAAATGAAATTGTCAAATTAAATAATAAAAAATATTATACAATACATATTTTAGTTTTTATAGTATGACATCAAAACGGGGAAAATAAAATATGCGAAAACACTCAGTCTAAATTAGTCAAAAAATAAATTATCGCATTAAATTTAACTTCTTGAACTTAAATAATAAAAAACATTAATAACTATTTCAGGTTTGATTTTGTAACAACAAAACGGGGAATATAAAAAATAAGCGAAAACACTGTAATATTTTCATGTAATGGATGCCAGCGCCGACGCACTGCGGCTAATGCCACCTATCGTCGAGAAGTGGAACCACAGACACAGTACATTTGTACGCGTAGATCGTGACTCCCGTGACCGGTGACGCTTTGTTCGCTTGTCGAACCGAGTTCCGACCAATCCAACCATCAAATCGATTTGATCGACTTGCAGTCCACCATTCATAGTCGCGACTCGCACGCACACTCGATTCACGACCAACCACGCGCAACGCTGCGAGTCCGCGACGGACTCGACTCGATTCAACGACGGACTCGAGCCTCGATTCAGTCTGCGATTACATGTACTAGAGTGTGCACGCGTTGCGTTTACTCCGCGTCTCACCGCGTCATTCACGACTTGTTTACACATACAAATCTAATAACAATTCGTATTCTTATTGGTGCGTGATGGACACAACAGTTAGTTAGTTATCTGCTTTATAATTCACAACGTGCTCTCATCAGTAACTGAATTTTGACCTTGTTTGCGCTAGGTGAAGAGAGCGTCGCGGATGCTATCTGTGAAGTGCGTCAGTGCTGCAGTGCGCTTGGACTTTGAAGACATGTCAACGTTAAGTGTTAGGGCACCCGGCCTACAGACGACCACCGTGCTGGACACAAGGTCGCTGCGTGTCCGCGGAGTGACCACGCTCGACAGTGTTAGAAGGAACCTGTTTGGTTCCATCGATAAGGAGGAAAATAGAAGATTCGTTGAAAGAGAACTGGCGAGACAGTTGGAAATAGACAATCAGAAATGGGAATACGACTTCGCTAATGATAAACCTTTGCCTGGCGCTCAAAGAATCACATGGCAGCTGGTTCCCGCGTCTACAATCCCTGCGGTTCTAAGAAGTGCACCGATCACAATATCCACTGCTGTACCAAGTTCGACTCCTCAAGAGACAAAAGTAGTCTCTAGTCCCGAGAGCAGTAAAACACAGAAGAGAATAACAGGTCAGTGCCCTTATGACATTTTTATAAAATTGTGTTTCAAAGTGTTCCAAATTTAAACAATACTATAGGCAGTATAAAGTAAATTAATCTATCCAACGTCACCGTACTATGAAAACCTAGTAAGTAACATCTAACAAATGTATCTGTATTTTTTATTTAATATTCATTTCTGTGATGTGAATGAATATACACTATAAAACAATAGATTATAATTAAATGATGGTTATATCTACTGTAAATTTTGGTTTCACGTAGTACATATTGTATTATTTTCTAGTTACAGTTACGACAAAATATGAATAAGTTTATTTTAAAATTAATATTTTTTATATGGTTAGTATGATTGCACAAACTCACATAACTCGTATCATAATTTTATAATATTATTGTACCTACCAAATGAGAAGGTTTACGGCATGTGGTCTAGGTACACCACAAAAGAAAACTTGCGTAATAAAATTTATTATAATAAGAATCTTACCAAAAATATTCTTCTGATAGTCAATTGGGAAATTTTGACTTTTTTAATTCAATTAAATCATGAAAGGGTAGATACATGGTTATTAATTAGGATATAGGACCCATTCTTTTTTTTTTGTCCGTAGGGAAACGAATGGGCTAAAGACATTCACCATACTGCCTACTAAGCTATTTATAAAACATATAATACCATAATATAAGTGATGCAAGCTGTATACAAAAAAAAAACACTAAGTCGTAGATTAACACTAATATTTTATAGTCTGTGATTGATCGAGTTAGCTTGCCCTACCTTTTAGTGTCTTGTAATTATGAATCATTGGTAATTAGGTATATAGGTATTATGTAGCCACTTAAAAGTCCACAGATAAGATTTTGGTTTCCTGTCATAATATGGGAATGTATCGTTCAGAAACTGCAGTATCTATTAATTATCTATATTATATCTATTGGGTGGGTCTTTATATTATTGTTAGACATATTGTAACTGTCTTTTTTGCCATTTCTACTTTTTATATTAGTCATGAAAATGTAGGTAATGTAAATAGGTAGGTACTTAGATTTCTCAGCAACAATCCTAACTTCCTAACTAAAGATAATAAATTTGAAATCGCTAAAACTGCTGAAACGGTTATGATGAATTGTGGTATGGAAATAAACTAAACCCTGAAGCCGGTTGTAGGCAAATCTTTCACTCTAAGAATCTTATAAGAAGTGGTATGAAGGAAAGTGTAATTTTTTTATGAAACCTTATTTTGTCCTATTTGCGTCAAACATTGTAGTATAATTGTTTATATAAATCATAATTAAAAATCGATATTAATACGACCGAAGTCGCGGGTAAAATATAGTTGTATTTATAAACAACGCTTGAGTTAGTAGGCATTATGGCAGATGTCTGTACAAAGTAACATGACATAATGAAGCGATAAAACAATAGGTATATAACTAACGTTAGGTTCTTTTGTTATCAAACATAAGCCTTGAAACAATTAGATATTATTATTAACATTATAATTTTCAGAAACATTATTTGTGGTAGATACACTAACAAGTACTAACACCCCATCCAAATGTGGACATCACATCAAGCAGTTAACATGCCTCTAACTACCCCAACTGAGACAAAAGTCGTGACATTCTGAATAATATTTTATTAATATTGATGCTAGACTAAAAAATGCTACGAGTAAATAATCACATTAGTTATTACGTTTTATATTACACAGTCCACTGAGCAAATAATCACTACGTTTTAACACGGATTTATATGTATTTGTTAATCATTTATGCATAACTTGAGTGGTAACGATTTTAAATCGCACAGCCAAATTATCGGCATAATTATTCAATATTTAAACAATGACAGAAATTGTAGTAGGTACTATATATATTTTTTTAATTTTGAGGCCTTTATTACAAGTAAATAATGATATCGTTTAAAAACTTTTCCAAAATACATTGATTTTTATTTAATAAGAGAGGTTAAGACAGTAAGCTTATACAGCCATGCCTTTGAACAAAGTAAAATCTATTCATACAGCCCTAAATATTTTTTGTTCACTAATCTGATACCTTTCTTATTCAATGTTATTTAGCCCCTGTACTAAAAGAAATCGCTTCATATATAAACACAAGGCCAATGTTAAAAATATTTTTTGTCCACCAAGGTGTCAATGAGTTCATAAAGGGTCCAAGACGGAAGCGTTCATTAAATAATTTACTGGCGTATAATTAAAAATTAAGATTTAATAAATCTTTTCTTAGTTCAATCCTAATGACTTTTTTTAATCTAAGGGGACGGAAATAATTGTATAACTGCTTATTAAATTGTTTTTCTGCGTTTAAATACAATAACTCTTCAGCTATTATTACTAAGTTGTTAATAGTCTTGCGTATTTAAGTTCGCGATTTAGAGGGTTCATTTTAGTTCGCTGTTCTTCTGCCAAGTATTTCTTGGATTTAGTTCGTTCGCTGCCTACTCATGTTGAAGCAGTCAGGCTGCCTTATCCTATTTTTTAGACCACTATTGAGGTCTCGATTTTTATGCCTTAAATGTTTTAAGTACTTGTTACTTTTTAAGATCGTAAATACGCGTTGTTAGTTTTCAGCCCACAAATATGTGGGCTAAAAACTATATATTCGTATATTTTAACAACATATATATTGGATTCTACAGACAGAAAAATAGATTAATTGTGTGAAATGATGATATGTACAAAAGGAGAGTATGCTCAGATATGACGTCCCTTGAGGTTCAATGGAAGAAAGTGACATACTGCGCCAACTCCAAATAATTGGATAAAGGCAAGGCATAGTTGATTATATAATATAGTATTTTTCGATGTAGTAACGAACGAAAGAGCGCTTTTGCGAACTAGTTCGTTCATGAACACAAGTCTAATTCCTAAGTTGTTTTGTTACAACGGAGAGCCGTGTAGGAGGGCGTATAGTTACGCTGTTATAAACAGCATGACCTAGATAATGTTTGTTTTGACATATTGCCTACTGAAGTGTACGTACAGACATCTCCCACTCTTGTCCCATTTTAGATTGCACATGTGAACACTCAAAGACATTAGTATCGTTGTAATAATAAGACTACTTACTACTTTATTTACTATATTGTAGTCTAAACAAACATGCAAATGAATAAACATTCAATTGTAATACACAGTAGAGTTCAATTTGCAATGAATATTAATTCGTATATAGAATTTACATGTGGTAAACAATGGATAGGACACAAACAATATAACCACAGCTTTTTTTTTTTAATTGACAAAGTACTCAACAATAGATTAAAACTATTCATGGACACTGTGGTATTAATGAGCAAGTAACTAATTTTAGTTGTAGATATTTCATGACATAGTTAGCAAATATACGATAACGTAACACGTGACGTCGTAAGTGTAAAATGACGCATAAGATGAGATGAACGCTCTAACGCGCATCCTGTGGTACTATTGGAAAAAATAATTAGAGGTATTTGAATTTATCAGGATCTGAGGCCACAGATTACGTTACGAAATTTTAACTATTAAAATGTAACTTTATGACCAGTTTAACACTAATTCACTGAAATACGAGAGACAGAATTGATGTAAATCAGCAAAATGAAAATAATATTTAAAATAACGTCGTGTATATGCAATACTAGTTTAGTCAGCGACTTTACCCGTGTAATCGGAATAAAGCACTAGCCATTGGTTACTAGCCAAAACGCACCCAAGTCAGTTAAGCTATTTCTGAGACTAGGCTGCACAAACTCACAGCCAAGCAAGTAAAAAATATAACAAACATTGTTAGGGTTCGATTAAATTAAAGTCAACCAAAAATAGTTTTTCTCATATATATCCTATTATATTTGAATTATCAAGTCCAATTACTATATTACGTTATACACAATACATATAATGTACAGTACAGATTTTACTTTAATAATTCGTTTAAGTAGGAAAAATTTATATTAATATAGAAAACATGACGTTCAAAAGCGGCTAAAATGCCGTCCATTAATATATTATTTAATTCGTTTAATAATAAAAAAAATTAATAATAATAAATTAGTTTAATGCTTTGCTAATAATATCTTGTTCTTGCAGTTTGTTTGCGGTGTAAGTTTACCCAACTATGCATTTTAAAGAGGGTATTATTTTTCAATAGGAAATCTTATAACCCTCATAAAAACGTTAGCCGCTATTTCAGCAGATGTACACATTTGGTGTATTTTCGAAAAGCTCTCAAACAATCAGGGGTCACAAATCTTTTTGTCTGTAACTGACCAACCGTAATATCGTAGTGGGGGGTAAGGAAACATTCGGGTCAACATCTTACCCTTATTTCTTACGTAATTACACCTTACTAGTGTCATTGAACTCTAGTGTTTAGAGTCGTAAGTGGACTAAGCCGTGGGGTTTCTTATTGTTGCATTAGAATTAGAAATAGTTGCAAATTTGAATGGGGTTCCTTCACCTCTGTAGAACAGAAGTCATACGCGGTCAACAATTTTTTTGTTACATTAATATTGCCGTTAGAAATCTGTTCTGCATTCGAAATGCGTGGTTCGTATTCAATCTATTACTACACAGAATTGTAGAAAGAATCATCGTTTGATTTTATTAGGTTTTATAGACAAATTAGCATTTCTTTTTTCAGATCTTTTCGTCCTTGCTCTTTTTTGTTATTAATTTCGCTACTAAATTACTTTTACTACACGTGATTCTACTTCCGAACAGATTTTATTACAGAGATGCATATCTGACTGACAAGTCTGACAAGCGCTGTACAAAAACTATAACATTGATTTTCTGTATTATTAATCTGATAGTGAATTTGTATATTTGCATACTCTATAGTATAAACCCATGTTATTTTAATTAATTATTTAATAAAAATGTAGTAATAATAATAGTATTCGTGATGAAGAAGGACTACTTTTAATCCATGTAATAAATAAGATAATAGATTTTTTGTACATTCATCCAATAATAGACAAACACAGACAACAAAAATAG